TCCCTACACCATGCCTCACAGATGGCATTCTCATTTATGTTTTCTTTCACTTAAGTCCCCTTCTGGGGTTCCTGGACCCTTGCTGGTCCCACACTCTCAGTAGGCTCTGGACCCCTCCCTGAGTCTTGGGGAACCTCTTCCCCACTTAGTTCCTTCCCAACCTCCAGACTGCTTCAGGTGTCTTCCCTGTGTCTATGGTCGTGCTTCAGAGCTGCAGTCCTCCTGCTGAGGTGGTGTTGTCTCAGAAGGCTCCAGATGTTACTGCCAACTTCTCTGAGGACCTAGACTTATACCTGCCGGCTCCCCAGGTCAGCTGGCCTCCCCTCCCCCCAGTTAGCCCTGGCTCACACCTGCCAGCAGCTTTGCAGGCTGCCTGGCCTCTTAAAGTGGCAGGCACCCCATGTGCCCTGCCACAAGTACCTACTTACTTTTCAGGTCTACTATTGTAATTATTCAGAATCACATATGCTTGTTTTCTCAGCCAAAGTCAGATCCCCCTGCCACCTCCCACCAGACATGCTTTTTTACCCCTGTCAGCCCTGAAGGATCAACACAGCTATGAGAAGGCAAGCTGGATGCAAGAATATGTCTCAGGATGGAATACAGTCCTTCTGTTGGGGCACTGCTACTCCAATAGAAGCACCGAGATGTACCTGTGGAACTCCATTTCTATCTGGGTAAAATTTGGCCTGCAGAATCCTTAGTACTGAAAAAAAAAATCAAAAAGAAAAGAGCCCATCTTGACATTGTCATTCTAGTGTTAATTTGCAGGACTGTCAAATAGGTGCAAAATGCTACTGGGGAAATGTAATGATCCAGAAGTAACTGAGAGGTCACAAATGTGGGACCTCACATGGTCAGCTTTTATTCATTTTTCAGAAAAGAATGCTTGCCTCATTGGTCTACGCTTGATATTAGCTCAGAGGATTCCTCTGATGCTCCTTATAGTTCATTCAGATTCAGTCTGACTTCATTGCTGTCCTACTAAATACAGGCACCTTCCCCTTTTTGCTTTTTGTGGATTTCTCTTAAGTGTTCATTTTGTGCTGGTTCTGCTAAGTTCCCTTTAAAGTGTCCTATACCATGCAATGAGTTACAGTTCTTATAGTTATCTGTCTCTTGTATATGGCTCTTTGTATCTTCATATTTAATATTAATATTTTTCTCAACCATCATGTCAAATACACAATAGATCTAAAGACAAATTTTCTTTTACAAAGAGGATGGGTCTAGTGGGGGCTGTGGTGGTGTGGGTGCGAAGGTGCACAGTTGATAGTCCAGAGGTCACAAGTTCAAGGCCATAGCAGAAGCACCCATGGTGCAGCTCTGTCAGATTCCAATGAATCTGTGAGCTCTGCTAAATACCTTAACACAAGAAGGAAGGAAGGAGTGACATGGTGAGTTAACTGCCTTTCACTCCTAATGCCATATATATTATATTTTAAAATGACAAATTAAGTCTTTGTCATGTGCATACAATTTCATAATTAATGTTATTGTATTAATGTTTTAAAATGTCAGAGATATACCAACTGTTACAAATGCTACATATTGTTAATATTTATTGTATTTTAAAATCAATTAAAGTTACTAAAGGAAGTGGCTTCTCTGTAAAACCAAGTATACTGATCTTTTCTCGCGTATTAAATCTTTAGTGCATACATGTACACATTGTCATCATTGCACTATCATTCCCAGAGTGCTCCTTCCTGCAAGTTTTTACTTTCAATGAATATCCTCAGTGTCTTCACTACAATACTTAGTGCTGCTCACTTTGTTGTAAATGTGTGAAGGAGCAGGCCCCATGTTAAGTGCCTGTGAGAAAATACAGCAGACAGAAATTGATGGGGTTTTTTAAATAAAACTAATTCATAAATGTTTGATGTAGCAGAATTTAACAACCTCTCTCTAGAGACTTTACTATTACTTCACTACTGTTGGAGATGTACCATACTATGAGTGCAATGGTAAAATTGCATACTAAAAATCTTGCCACAGATGTACACGCACAGGCACATACTCACTCTCTCTCTTACTTACACACACACACACACACACACACACACACACACACACACACACACTTGATTAGATCTTAAGGTTCTTAGGATTCCACCAAGTTCATACTGGAGAGAGGCAGGGAGAGAGCTTGTTGTTTATATAATGTATCACTAAAGTGACATAATGCATGTATAGACCGCTTCGTAGAAACACTGTAAAAATTCCTTATCTACAAGAGGGTATAATCTAGCAATGCTGAGCAGTGCTATGCTGCCATCAGTTTGCATAATATTGTTCCATGGCACTACAAATATTAATGTACAATTTGTTCAATACTGTTGAAGAATAAGTGTGCTTTAGGATGAAAGACTTTAGGTAAGTTCAGTGTTATTACAGTTAGGAGCTTATAAATAATTTATTGAGAGGTTAAATAGGACGGAGCTTTATCACATGGCAACTACTCAGCAGTAACTGCCCATATCCATGCTCTAACACAGCAATGAACAGAAGCAAAACTGTTCAAGATTACTTGTCTTTCAGGTGTTAGGGCTAAGTAACCATGGTTTAGATCTACTTAACCCCAGGATATGAGTATGCACTTGGACAATTCCTATGGAACACTTGATGTGCATAACACCCTGATCCCCTTTACCTCACAGTAGAACTTTCATCTCACAGGGTGCATGTACACTTGCAATTAATGCGAAACAGTAAACTACAGAGCACTCTGAGCCGGAGTGAGCTGCTCCCAGACACAGTGTTTACATATGTGTATGGGACAGCAGCAATTTGAGCTGAAGTGGAGCAGGCCACCGGTGGGCTGGATTGACCAGGTACAGTTTACATTTGCAGTCAGCATCTACGCATGCATTGCAGCACTGTAAGTTACCCCAGAAAGTAAATAAATGCAATGTGAGTTGGGCCAGTTTCAAAAGGAGGGCTGAAGTGTGCTATGGGCAAACAAAATGCATGTCTGCTTGGACCTGTCCTGAGTTTTATTTCTTCTATATAAATTTTGGATGCATTCTTTTTCTACCCAAACATCCCTAGAAAGTCACAATCCATGCAGCACTCTCTCACTGTCTGTCCATCAGAGACTCCTCTCCAGCTGATGCCACCCAGTCAACTATTTTTCTAGCTAATCCTGAGGACATTAATGGTTTAGTGTCCCTTTGATCTAAGACTCAAGCCTTTTACCATGAATTCTCTGATTGCTTGTTTGCAGTCCCAATAGATTTGCATGTGCAAACAGCTGATCTTGGTCTTTAGCCTAGGACTTTTCTGCCAGAGAAATCATAGAACCTCATTTGGTGTGAGCATTCCTTCCGTTATCTCCAGGAGAGTCATTTCTGTTCTGAACCAGAAGGTAACTCAACAGTTTCTGAAACTGCTGTGGGAGAGCAAAATGGCTTTAGCAGATTTGTTTAACAGTCATCTTAAAGTTGGGTTTTATTGTATTTTTGTATTCAGTTCCTGCATCAAGAGTTTTGTTTACAAAAATGACATTTTTCAAGCTGGTTACCACTTCAATTTGTTAAGCATGACATGGTATATTTTCTGGGTTTTTGGTTGTAGCCATGTTGACCTAAGGACATAGGCATGCAAGGTTCTTTGAGTAGATGTGATATCTTTTATTAGACCTACCGAGTAGTTGGGAAAAAGTTCTTTGCAAGCTTTTGGGTTTAGTCACCCTTCTTCAGGCATAGGGAGTCTCTGCTGTTCTGAAACTCCAAGGAATGAGAGAAGCTAAAGAAGACATTGGACTTACAATGCAATACAGCCTGCCTGACATCTGATTCACGTGCCTGACTTGACCTCTTATATTCTTTTTTTTCCCCACCTTTTCTCCCCTCCCCTACTTTTCTGCCCTTTGTCTTCCTGTTTTCCAACCATTTTCTTTTTCACTGAGGGCCTCTTTTTTTGTCTGGTATTATTACCATTGTAATGTTTCCCTTTGGCCTTCCCCCCCTCCCTTGCTTTCTGCCCCTTCCCTTCCCTACTTTACCTTTTTTTTTTCTAATTTCTACCTATTTATATTTTCACTGACATCCTGTCACATTCATAGCTTCTTTCATTCCTTGGAATCTCAGACCAGCAGAGACTCCCTATGCCTGAAAAAGGGTGACTGAACCCAAAAACTTGCTAGGAACTTTTTTCCAACTACTCATTTGGTCTAATAAAAGATATCACATCTACTCAAAGAACCTTGCCTGACATGGTATGTTTGTCACTCAAGCATCTGACTGTATTGTCAACTTTCTTCTATGTTTGGTGTTTTTTAACCAGTGATAAATACTGTAGCCTTCTTTGCTTTCATATCCCATTTGTAAAATGGGGGTGATATTTCTTAGGCTCTTTATCCCATCAATTTAAATTTTAAACTCTTTGACGTGGGACTGACAACTTAGCATCTGTTTGTACAGAGTATAGCCCTATGTGTTAATGGCTTCAATCATGTTGGGGCCCCCAAGAACTACTCTAATACACTTCATCATTGAAGCATATTGAAACAGAAGCACTGTCCTTTTAAAACAAAAAAAACTTTGGGCTTTCTCCTTTCATTGCTGTCATTGTATGTCGTCTAAGGTACTCTGGGAACTTATTATTATTACAAAATATGCAAATGTGCCAGGTACTGCATAGACTAGTAAGAAGTCGCAATCCCTGTCCCAAAGAGCTTAAATCCTTCAGGACAGAAGATATACGTATACCAAGTATTATTTCTGAAGTACAGAAAAGAAAAAGAATATTATTACTGAAGTACAGATACCTGAGATAACAAAATCTAAACCTGACTGTTTGTGCAGGACCTGGATAGAAATCTATGCAGACACAAGGCTTCATTTGAAAAAGCAATAGCTGAGAAAGTTCGATGTCAAGAAGATGTGAACCGAACCAGCAGAACTATTGAGCTAGCTAACAGACTTGTCAAGGGACTTGAGGCAAGTAGGCTACTTCTTAATGCTGTTTTTACAATTAGTAATTACGATATTCCAAATATTTGTTAAGTATACTAGTTATTTTTTAAAAATCTTTAGTAGAATGCATAAAATACCTATGTGAGAGAGAAACTTAGAATCAGTATATTAAAAGAAAACCCCCTGAAACATGCAAGAAGTTTACATCTAATACAGTCAAAATCTGAGAGTGATTGGTGATGCCATGCATTTAATTAAAATTACATGCCATTACCTTGCTTGTATTTGTATGACCACTGGAGAAAAGTCTCCATGACAAAGTCACCACATTTACACAATTGTGAACACATTGCGACAGCCTGGGCAGTCTCTGGCTAATAAGCAGAGAGACTGAATAATCCTCTAGGTCAGAAATGAGTCACATTATCCACTCACGTTGCACCTAAATTGTAAATAAGTGGAATATGCCAATTGGATTGTTTTGTTTTGTTTCCTTTGCAAAACCATTCATTTTAAAAACACAATATTATCCAGTGTGGTCACTGAGATTTTTTTTGCAGGCAGGTGTAAACAGATGCCCTGTCAATTTACTGATCAATTTCTAGAGAGCCACTCAAGTAAGTGGTAGTATAGTTAAGTTCCCCTCAGTTCACAGAGATAAAATTTTGACACACATCTTGACACAATATGTGAAATGTATTACATGCCCTATAGTAGACAATTTGATGCATCTTATATTCCTAAAATATTCCAGATCATTTTAAATAGATTTTTAAAAATACATTAAATTTTATTTGGATTCCCATAAAGTTTTGCTTTACCTAATCTCAAAGAACTCAACTCTCTTTTTGACTAATGACTTCATTTCTACAAATCAGTCCATAGAAGACTGCAGTCAAATCAATTATGTTAGGTTGGACTACAGGAAAAGAGTTTTAACTTATTAAAGCCACCTGAAACAATTGAAATAAACCAGTTTTTTGTCATCTACAAGTAGTGAATTTCTCATAGTTCATTTTAACTTCAATGTTATTCAGAAACTTAAAGAATAACATTTAGTATCTGACTTGTTACAAACCAAAGTGTGCCATTTGTGTTGTTATGAGTTATTACCAGGGATCCTGGTATTCTCTGATTTAAAAAAAAAATTGCAAGTTCTCTGATAAAAACCCCAGAATCTGCAATGAAATTGAAACACCTTCATATCTATCTACATATCTATATATCTATAGATATATATATCATGGTGTTTATATATATATATATATATATATATATCGTGTTGTTTATATATATATATATATATATATATATATATATATGTATAGGTATCTATTGCAAATAAAACATTGTGTTCAATTTTAAAGCAATTTGGAAGCCTCCCAGTACCTCAATCACAATTATAAAACAAATGTTAAAGACCTATAAATGTTGGTGTTTGATTTTGGGATTTTTATCATGGAAAATCAGAGTTCCCCCTACCCACTTAGCTCACAGAACTCAGGTCCTGACCCCCTGCAGCAGTGCCTGAGCCCCAGCTGAGGGAGGCAGCAGCTGCTGCAGTATAGCAGAGTGCGGAGCCCAGCTCCCCCTTCCCCACGGGCAGCATGGCTGAAGTGGAGCCCGCCAGGGGATAGGGACAGGCTGCCTGCTGCAGACTCTGGTGGGGGGAGGGGGGAATGGCTCCTTACCCCTACACGCACTCCTGGGGAGTAGGGAGACCCATGCCTCCAAGATCTGTGTGCCGGTCAGGGGCAGGGCCCCCTGCCTGACCACCTTCCTTCCACTCCCCCCAGCCTCTTGCAGCCTCTTGCAGGCTGGAACTCTGTGAGCCTGCAGAAAACTCTTTGCAAAAGTGAAAAATCAGCATGTTTCATCGTTAAAATGAGAAATCCATGTTTTTCTCCATTTTTCCATGAGAAATGGAAAACCCGGATCCCTGGTTATTATCTACATAAGAGATGTTTTGGTTGGACCCAGACAAAACTAAGACCACCATAAGCTGGCAAAGTCTTACTATCTTGTGTAGTCCTATCAAGTTCTGTGGGTCTATGCCCAAAGGTAATGACGAAGTCTTTCTTTTAACAGTTAATATTGAATCCGGAAAGGGTTGTTTCCAAAGGCTGAGGGTCATCTTTAGTAATGTTTTTATATAAGCTAAAGAAAAATATTTAAAAGGATTAATTGAGAATGTCAAGTCTTTTCCTCCAAGAATAATTTTTTTTTGACTAGAACAGGAGACAGTTAACTTCTGAAAAGCATCAAGACTGATGATTTTGTCTATATAGCATTGACCTGGAAGCTCAACCATTCAGACTAATAAATCAGGCAATTTATATTTAATCATTAACTAACTCCCAAGCTGAACAGCTGTTCAAAATTAGAAATGGGTCACCTCGGCCAGGATGACATTACAGGCAATCTATAATGCATTAGAATAAAATTATAGTGATTTTTAACTGTCTGGAAATTTATTACACTGCATGTTCCAACTCTTAAACCCTTGTTAGCCAATGTCACTAGTGATTTATGGTGGTTGGGTGGTATAGTAAAATTACTGAAGATTTAAATAGACAATCACTCTATGTTTAGTAAATCTTCAAATTTCAAAGCTATTTTGGAGAATGAGGTGGGTGCACTTTATTGTTTATGACTTACCAACTAGTGACAACAGGGAGAGATAATGGATAAATCAAAAGGCTTTCTTGTAAATTAATGGATTTATTGTCTGGTTGCCTTCAGTAAATGATTTAAGGAAGAATCTAATGAGTTCTGCAGAAAGTACTGCAAATCTAAAACACTTCAAATGAACAGTGCTAAATTTCAGAGGTAATTGTTAGTGATTTAAACAAAAACAGTCTCTATCCCACCATTTGTTGGCTGTCTTATACCTGAGACACAAACACTGTCACGCACATCAAGTTCTGCCTCATGAGTTTGCATGGTGAAATTTCAAATGCATGTTCAACTAAGCATTTTGTTTTACGTGAGAACATTTGAAATGCCATTCACTGGGGAGGTAGCCGCTTCACCTGAACACCAGTGGGGGGACCGCCAGCCCGCAAAGGGCCCTCCCCCAAAGAGGGTTTGCCACATCAATCACAGAAAGGAGCGCAGAAGCAGTGTCCATTGCACAGCCCGGGACTGCAGGAGCGATGGCCCAGGGGGGGTCAGACCAGGCATGAGAACCGGACTCGGACCGGGAGCTCATGCACCAAAGTGTCTGCCATCCCCCTCTCAGCAGTGGGGCACAAAACTCGGGTTTGGCCATTGGGTGAAGCACGGTTCTGCCCTGGAAATTTCTCTGACCGCCATTCTGGAACCAAAGGTAGGCATTTAGGGTCCTGAAAACCATGTTCCTGAAAATCTCTGCGAACATTTCCTAAGAGTTTAGTGAATGTGGCATCTGGCCCCACCACTGGGGTGAGGCACCAAAAGTGTCCACCCACCTGGATCGAACAGTCGGGCAACACGCTCACAGCAACCCCTTACGGACTTCTGGGCCACGCCAGGGAGCCCATGTCAACCGCTTGCAACACAGGAGAGCGGGCCGGGCAAAATTTTTCTAAGTCCCATGGCAGACACCAGGTCAACCTGGTTCTCCCACAGGAGAACCCCGCCACTCCCAAGGAAGCACCCCAGCCTTCCCGACCCTCGGGCCGGTCACTGGGGTGAAGCCAGACTTGTGGCCAGGCTCCTGGAACTGCCGCCCAGCGTGGCCTGCTGGATTGGTCCCCTTCCAGACCTCCGGGTTGACATGGCCTTGTGGAGGGCTGCCTAGGCCCCTGCTGCCCTGGCCCGGGCCAGCTGCCACCTGGAGGGGTCTCTGGGCACTGACCCTGGGGCCCTGCATACCTGCCAGGACCCTTTGAGACGGCCCCGGCCTGGCCAGCCTTTGGGCAGGTCACCAGGGCGAAGCTGGAATTGTGGCCAGGCTCCTGGAACTGCCGCCCAGCCTGGCCCACTGAATCGGTCCCCTTCCGGATCTCCAGGTTGACATGGCCTCGTGGAGGGCTGCCCAGACCTCTGCCACCCCAGCCCGGATCAACCACCACCTGGAGGTATCCCTGGGCACCATAAATCCATCTAGCCCAGTGTCCTGTCTCACGTACTTGCAGAGCGTGAATGCTGAGGGAGAGAGTAAAGATGGGTATATCCAGAGTCTTCCACCCCTTGCTCGTCTCCCATTGCAGCTTCCATCATTCAGAGGTTTAGCAATTTCTGATTCAGAGACTGCACTCAGAGACTACCATGTTCAATGCTGATGGATCTTGCCTCCAGGAATTTGCCCAATCCCCTTTTGAACTGGGTTAAGCTACCAGCCTCCTTAACATCTTATGGCACTGAGTTCCACAAGTTAATTTCATGCATCATAAAAAACAACTTTCTCTCATTTTAGACTTCTCTCTCAGACTCTGGTCTTGTCTGAGAGAGACAACTTCTCTCTCTTTTTCTGGATAACTTGGATTTACATATTTAAAGCAGAGATGATTAGAAATGGAAAATCTGACTATTTTATCTTTGTGGCATTCATGTTCCACATAATGTCAAATTTTAACAACTGAAGTGAGCGTTTCTGATCTGTTGCCACTAAATTGAAAATACTTCATAAACAACCAATGTTTCAATTAACATATTTTTCCAGTTTATAAGTGTCCCTGTATGTTTCAGGTTTTCAGGTTCAATTTGACAAAAAACAGCATTTGCCCCAAATATAAATTGATATTTCTGTGATGGTTAACTAAAAACTGGGCACTGTGTGACTGAGAGTCCAGTCATAGGTCAGCCCTTTGTAATTTGCTGTAGCTATCAGGAAATCCAGACTCTACAAGAATACATGCATAAAATGGACCAAACATGCCCTGACACCATCCCTTTGCTCTTTCAGCCCCAAGACTGTCTTATGAGTACTTGCATCTGTTACCTTTTACGGGACCACTGTGCCATAAAGAAAGAGTCAGTCTCTTAATAGCCTTGCTTTAAACCCATTGGTATTTTTTATGTTAACTTTTCTGCCAACTTCAAGTTTAAAGCTATGATTAATATATGTTTGTTTATGACATTTTATAATTGTGGTTTGCAGTCTGAAAACATTCGTTGGAGCCAGTCTATTAAACACTTGGAAGCACAAGAAAAGACATTATGTGGCGATGTCCTATTAACAGCAGCATTCGTGTCTTATGTTGGATCCTTTATGAAACAGTATCGTCAAGAACTGGTAGAACATCTGTGGATTCCTTTCCTTAGATCACAGGAGGTAAAACACCTTGTAGGAAATGGCAGTGCATGCTTGAAGCTTAACTCCCCCCAGTTGAAGGCTTAAGAGTACAGTTCTGTCCTTAAGTAACTAGAACAACTTTGCAGAGTACATATATGCCTTTCAGCAAAAAAAAATTTCTCAGATTGCAGGTACTGATTTTTTGTTTGTTTGTTTGTTTGTTTTTCTACTTGGGATATGCACACTTGAGTGAGTTCCTTTTCCTTTCCTACATCATCTTTCGTAGGCCAAATTACCTGTGTAATAGCAGCTATTACTTATCGTGATGTGTAAAGATAAACTCTGCTTAACTTTCAGGTTCCTAGAAGAGTTTGTAAGGATGGCAGCTAGAGGCATTTTACTTGTAAAATAAGTATTTGATAGGAGCCATTGATACAATATACATGGAGCCCTAAAATGCATCTCCCACCACCCAGCAGTTCAAAAAACTTTGCCATAAATTGATCTCTCTTGCTTACTGAGTTTGTCGCACAACTTTTTAAAGGAGCAAGATGCAACACGCAAACATCTGAACCCCTTGATGGCCTTCTTGTCTGTATCGCTTTAATCTTCAACGCCCTGTATCGCTCTACCCATGTCTATTTTTACTCCCCTGCAAAGCTTTGTGTTGATCACTCTGTGAATGCTGCCTATCTTTGTCTGTCTACTTTGCTTTGTGGCCCAAATCACTGTAATAACTTGGCACCTCACACTTCTTAAAGCATTTTACTTTGCATCTTCCCAGGAAAGAAGGGAAGTGGTATCCCTGTTTTTAAAATGGGTAACTAAGACATAGAGTAGATTAACTGGTGCTGAGCAAACACTGGAGGTATATGAGGAAGTATATGACTAAGCTGTCCTGGTTTCCTGCATCCATGGGTCCAGTGCTCTAGCCACTGGGATGTCCTCCTACCCTCATAACAACATAAGAACTGCCATTTACTGGATTGAACTCTATGTCCATCTTGCCTAGTATCCATGGGTATGTGTCTGGTTCACTTCACAGATGCCCTGATACCTGTCTCTTCCGTGAGCAGAGGGAGATCTTGGCCCACAACTGCCTAGAGTGCACCAGGCTATAGCCCCTTCAGTGCTTCCTCCAGAACCTCTTGCTGAGGTTCTGGCTGCATTATTCCTCTCACCTTTTGGTTTATGCACTCCCCATCCACTTATTTCACCAGGAAGGAGTCCCTGGGTGGGGCACCCCGTGGTGACTGCAGGGCCACTTCCCTATCCCTGGTCCAATCCTGTTGCCAGGCATAGTTTCACTGGGCAGTATCCACAGACTCCTTGAACTCATTCAAGGGCCTGTGAGCACTGTCCGGTGTGCTGTGCTCAGTGTTCCCTCCCTTTCCTCCCCTTGGTGAACTCTTTTTAAACATACACCCTCACTCCCATCCCTGTTATATTTTGCTTTGTCCCAAGGAATTGGTTGCTTACCCAGTGGCCTTCCTTCTAAGGGAGGCTTACAGCGTTTCTTAGTGGTCATTGGCCCACAGTCCCTTAAGCAACAAATAGGCCTGTGTCACATAGTGGCAGAGAGTGGATGATGAAAAGGAGAGTGAACAGGGTATGACCAGAGGTTTTTCTACTGTTCATCTTTTAGATCCACAATCACTACTGTGTATGACCTCCCAGTCTCTGTTGAAAGGCCTGATCTGTCCACATAGAAGTGCCTCTTAAACACCTACTTCAGCTTTGCTGTCTATATTTATATAAAAACTGTGTATAAATTATCTATTTTATTTCCTTTCTTCTGACATCTTTGTACTTACTTGTCTTTAGATACAATTTCCACGAAGCTGGAAACATCTTTAGCTCATGGGAAGGCCCTTAGTGACCATTACCACGAAAAATCATAATCTTCAGAGTACAGTTTTTTAATAGAACTGTACACTCCTGATGCTTTCACTGAAAGGCAGCTGGCAAAATTGCTTGTTTCAGTTTTGACAATTCTCCCAGTGTTAGAGAGAGATATGATTAATAAATTCTGTTTTAAAAATATAGTGAGATCCTTGCTAAATGCTCTTCTTTCAAAAGGACAACAGTGAAGGTAGTGCACTCTCTTCACTGTTGTCCTTTAGAAAGAAGGGCATTTAGCAAGGACCTCACTATATTTTTACAACAGAATTTATTGATCATATCTTTCTCTCACACTGGGAGAATTGTACAGGTATGGGAACAAAAGATACAGTTGTGCATTAAAATGTATACCTTGCTTTGTCACAGAACACTAATACCACCACAAAGTTGTATCAACTATGCAAACCTATTTATTTCAGCTCTCTAATTTAAGGAGACTGCTTGTTTTATGGCCTATCAGTAAAATGAATTTTATTCTTAGTCATCCTATGTGTTTATATAAATGTGTTTATCTGCTATCTGTCTATATACACTCATAGGTATGTATGCTGTATGCAGGGAAGTGTACACATACCAATGTGTTTGTATTTTGAGTGCATTGGTTACATGGTAGTTTACATTGTGAAATTGGCAGCTGTGTGATTAGAATCATGATTTAGGCCATTTTAAACAAATACATCCTTTGTTACAAAACAGAAACAGTTTTGTCTAACAACAAAATTGTTGCCACAGTAACTAAACTGTAACTAAACAGCCTTCCATGTTAGTGTTAATTTTGTACAAATTTGACTCACCTAAAATAGATGCAGTTATTTCTTGAGTAAATAACTACCAAAATGACATGTTTCTTGATGTTACTCCATGCTTTTAAAAAGAAACTAAAGTATTAATTCAACACCTAGATATTGTATGTATGGTAGGGAGGAATAGTATGCTAAAAATAACAATGCAAAGACAACTTCCAAGTGGTTAGGGAATTAGAAGGCTTAGATCAGTGGTTTTTAGACTGTTCTGTGGAACACTGGGGTTCTACAGTAGGTTGTCAGGGGTTCATCAGAGATTGGGGGTAATGGAAAGGCAAGCCAGGAAGCTCCATGCCAACTCACATGGTCCATGGAGCCAGTGGAAGGGGTTCCATGGCAGAAGTGGTATGAAATAATTCAGTGATTTGAGTAAGTTTACAGGACCGGTAATGTGGAGTAGTTCTCTTCTAACTTGGAGTTTTGACATTCAGATCAGGCTGGTATTCACCAAAAATAAAAACCTGAAATAAAATTATAAGTTGATGGAATCAATAGGAATTTCACATTTTTTTCACCAGCCATAGAGTATACTGCCTATTTGGAGGTTTCCTTAAAATACTTGGAATTTTTTAATTTAATTATTCTTCCTATCTTTTTTTGTCTCTCACTGCATCCATAGCACTGCTGAACACACCTTCATTAAGTACTGTTTTGAGATTTCTGATTTTATTAAAACACATAATGGCAGAATAACAGTTGGAGAAAGTGTGACTACTTGCTTGTGCTTTGACTTAAATGAAGTGCACTGGAGACCACGGTCCAATTCATAATGAAGAAGTGTCCATATAACAAAAGAACATTGTTATGCTTGATTTGTTACCTAGTTGGCTGCCTCTGCAGAGAACAGATATATATATGGGGAATTTTATGTAGTAGATGAGCTCTTAAGAAAGCTGGTGTGAGAATCCTGTTATGCAGCTACCTATGCTGCACATAATCTGTAAAGAAACAGTAAACTTTATTCTCTAGAAAATCTTTATTCTCTACCTATTATGTACTATTCATGGTCACTATATCTGTACCAATATAAATAATCTGCTCTAAAGGTTAACACTATATATGCATCAGTTTGTGATATACAACATGTACTTTCATTTAACAAAATCATAGTTTTCAAAGTTAGTTTCTTAAATTAAAAGAATATGCCATTTACACTAGTCCCATGAAATAGTATGCTTGTCTTCTACACATTACATATTCTGATGCTTCTGTTGACATCTGATAGTCTACAGGGCCTTGCCTTCTTTTCCATACAATATACCTCTATTTCTAGTGACCCTTGTTATCTTGTGCCTTGCACAGAGTCTCATCTCGCTATTTTGTAACCTTGCTAGATCATTATATTCCACTCTGATTCAAAGGTTCCTATTCCAATAACTAAAGGCCTGGACCTGATTGCCATGTTGACTGATGATGCTACAATTGCAGCATGGAATAACGAAGGCCTACCTAGTGATAGAATGTCAGCAGAAAATGCCGCTATTCTAACGAACTGTGAGCGCTGGCCTCTGATCATAGATCCCCAGCAACAAGGAATTAAATGGATAAAGAATAAATATGGAACTGACCTTAAAGTCATACATCTAGGACAGAAAGGGTATGTGTAGACCGAAGAATTTGTTTTCCCATTTCACCGTTTTAAAGTTTACCCTAATTTTTACCAGGGATTTGGTTTGTTGTGATGTATTGTCTTTTAAATGTGAAGCATTACATTACTACTGCTTATTTTTCCATAGTATCATTTTCCACTTAAAAAGCTCTACTTTTTCTGCTGTGTTGTTTTCAAGCTAGAGAAAAAATATAGTTTGATATGCATTGCACAAGATAGTAAAATCAGTTTTTCCAAAACTAAGATCCTAACATGCTGGCTTTTGTTCATGTTCCTGATTACATTACAACTTAGCCAATAGGATGGTGACATATATGTAGCCATTACAGAGTGAGATACTCAGTCTAACGTTTTCACAAATGACTTTAGCCAATATTCGGTATTCTCCTGGCTATCAAAGATGTTTTGAATTCTAATAGTGAAGTTTAAATTGCATTTAAATAGCTATCACTCCTTTGGAATGGATCAGATTTATCCCTTCTCAAGATGATTCTGATTTATGGAGAGGGTTGTAGTAGATTTTCAGCTGAATGTTATTTTTCATGCTACCACGTGGCTGTCTAATAACTTTATAAACCTTTGAAGACTATTATCATCAAAGAGACTATTATCATCAAAGAGACTTAGTTTTATTGATATCCAGGAACAGCAGGCATTTGCATAGCCTAGAACAGCATGTGGTCTCAATAATACCACTTTTTAAAACCTCTGAATCACTGAATCAGCTCACTGTCTGCTTTTCAGCATTTTTCCCTTCCTCCTTGGGCATGTCTACAAGTGCCATTAATGCGAAGCAACAAACTGCAGAACTGATTGCTCTGCAGTTTATTGCTCATGGAAAGCTCCTGGGCATGCCATTTACATACTTGGGACCACAGCACATTGAGCTGAGTCACAGCAGCCCCAGGTGGCAGGGAGTCTGGGTGGGTCAGCCTGCCAGCCCGGAGCTGCTCCAACTGGGCTCAGTGTGCTGCGGACGGGCTGGCTGGGGCACGAGTGTGCTTCAGCATGGGGCTAGCTAGTAGGCAGCTCCCACACTGAAGCACCCTCGTGCCCCAGCCAGCTGTGTCAGCTTCTACATGTTTGTTGCTGCGCATGAAAATACGTTGCAGCAGGGTAGTACTTGTATTAGTTTTGTGCACCCTAATAGACAATCTAACACATGTAGATGTTTAGACATTTACTGGGCAGTTATTTAGTCAAATGCACAGTAAACATCTCACATAGACACGCCTCTTGACTTCTTTTACTTTACTATTATATGACCTGCTGCCTGTGATTTCTAGGGTCTGGACTCAGGGATCCAGGAGGTCTCTTCCAGACCTGAGTTCCTGTGTGTCAATCTCTTTGCCATATCTACCTTGCAGGCACATTGGCTGCTTACAGACATGGGGGAAAAAAACAGTGCTTTAAGCTTGGTGCACCCCCACACCAAGCACAGCGCACACCCAGACAAAGCATCGCGTTAGGTGGACTCACTATATATCCAAGAAAGTCTTTTATTTCTAACTATAAAATCTCATTAGGATAGGATTTAAAAAAGGGACAAAGACAGACTTGTATTTTCAGTTAGTATTTCTTTTCTTAACATAAGAACCTTGGCTGCTTACAGACATTTAAAAAAAAACAACCCGTACACAATGTTGCTTTAAACTCAGTGCACCTCTGTGCCAAGCCCAGCACATGCCCAGAAGAGGCAGTCTGTTACTTCAACCTAGTTTGCCCAACATCTACATAGATCAGGCACTTCAGTGGGGCTTTTTGATACTTGTATCGAAAGCTGACACTGGGGAGCCAGGTTAAACTAATGCTGCTTCTTCCAGTAAAGTGCTGTTGTATTATTTTTTCACGTCTGTCAGTGCCTAATATGTCTCTTTATTCTTGGCTTTGAAGACCTAGCCCACCATATGTTACCCTCGCTATAGATTACAATTCTTCCAGGAGCCTGTACAAGTTCTAATACCTCTTTCAAGGCAGCATGAAATTTATAAATGGTGATATGTAAAGCCTTAGAGCAAAATATAATAGACCCACTAAGGCATGCTAAAATCTCCTAACATTTATTTTGTGGCATTCCATCTTACACCTGTTTATAATGTTTATATAAAGACTTGCAGACTCCTTCAGGCAGGGACCTGGTCTTCTTATTTCATTAAAAAATTTAGAATGCCTTTTTATATGAGTAGAAAATAAAGCGCAGAAGTAGACTATTACTCAAAACCACCAAAGTTTTAACTATTAGAAGATATATCTGTGTGTGTAATATGGCAGGTTGTAACTGAGCCCTTAAACAAATATTTTCTCCAGTTTATAATATATGTAGCAGAAGCATCTTATTACATAATTAGAAGTCTGTCTTATTGCTGGATTTTATTTTCATACTAAGGTTTCTGAAAACCATTGAAAGAGCTTTGGCCTGTGGAGACACCGTCCTAATTGAAAACTTGGGTGAAACAATAGATCCAGTACTTGATCACCTACTTGGAAGAAACACAACTAAAAAGGGGAGGTAAGTATTTTTGAATGATCAGGATTTTTACATGAGGCTTAGTGCCACGTTATTCCTGTTGTTTTTTCTGTTCCTTATCAGCTCAAAGCTTGGTATTCAACTATTAAAAAAAGAGAGAGAGAAGGGTGCTGGTTTACAACTGGTAATGAATGCACATCAAAAATTGAGAATCTGGGTGTAAACGCCTCAAATTTTGTATGATTTCAAAATGTAGAACTACTGATTTTTCCTGTCTTCAAGGCTACCCATGCAATCTTATACAAACTTTGCTATAAAAACTCTCATTTTTTTTCAGTTTTTACTAGTAAATGAACGTGCAGTGGCATCTGAAATGGGGGGGGGGAGGGCAGAGTAAATCAATTTCTGTGAACATTTACAAATTTTTTATTTTTGGAAAATGACTTTCCACTTTTAGTAACTCTCATATGTTCAAAAAAGCATTTATACTGCAACCTATATGTAAAGTAAATATTCTTATTATGGTTGACAAATTATAACAATGTAATAAATCAGAAGAAATTAATGAAAAAATAATTGTTCTACCACAACATAAGGTATTTATGGCAAATTCTTACTGGCTTTACATTATTTTCCCTCTCTCTTACTGTAGTAAATGTCTTACCCCTAGATAATGGCTAGTCCCAAAGACCAATTAAATAAATACATGCTTTTTTATCTAGTTCAGTGGGCTTTGGTCCAGAAATTGATAGGTCCCTTGTTTTTTTTAGATACTGACCTGAAAAATGAGGGGGAAAATTCAATTTGTCATGACTGACACAAAACGAAAATCTCTCTTTTTTTTTTTTTTTTCTCTTTGAGAATCTTTTATTTTGGGAGTGAGGGACAAAATGATTCACCTGACCTGGAACAAAAGATTACATTTCCATTTCAGTCATTTGTAACAAAGCCAAACTCATGGAAGAGAAAGGCTCGACTTCAGTGAGGCAGAGTGATCATGTGCCAATTTTACCTATCACTCTGCAGTTGGGACATTCAGCAAGGCTGCGGAAGATTCAGGGTTCAGTTTTTTTCCCCTGCCTGAGGGCACCTGCACCTACATCTCCTGCTGATATGTTAACTGATATTCTGGTGCAGGGGTGGGCAAAATACAGCCCACGGGCCAGTGGGAGCACAGGGCCCGCACCGGTGTCCTGGGGCCAGTGCCAATGGGGCCCAGAGCAGGGTGGCAGGAGCACAGGGTCCCAGCTGGCAGGGGCTTTATGGAGCCAGGCCAGCTCCCCCCTCCCTGCTGGTGCAGCCCAGCCCGGCTCCACAGACCCCTGCCAACCTGCACCCCGCTTTGGGCCCCATCGGTGCTGGCCCTGGGACATTGGTCCCAAGACATTGGGACACTGGTCCCAAGATGCTTGTGATATCAAGGGGCAGGGCTACCCATGCGGCCCTCGCCAGTCTGCCAAAACTGGGGAAGCGGCCCTCCGCTCAAAATAATTGCCCGCCCCTGTTCTGTTGGGTAGTATTCTGTCTCTCCTGTTGAAGCTGTTCCAGTTTGTATTTCTGGGTATAACAAACTGCATGAAACAAGGACTGAAATCCAGGTGTTCAATTTCTCAAAAGAATACCCTAACTTCCTAGATATAGAGATTGTCCTAGTTTCTCTCTGGTATAACATGTATTTAAGAACTTCATATAAAATAACACCTGTGACTAGAGACAGAAAAAACCCACCACAGAATAACATGTAGCCTTGTGATTAGGGTTTGGGTGATACAGATTCAAATCCCAGCTCTGAATCAATCAGAGGGAGAGCCTTTAAACCCATATCTTCCACCCTTCAGGAGAGTACTCTAACCAGTGTGCCCAGGAATTAGGGAGACAGTGATCTCCTTCTCTTCTTTTTCCTTCACTTTGCAGATCTAACTCTTTTTTTTTTTTTCCAAACTGAATTTTTAGCAAACTGTTTACTGAAAAAATTGCTTAAGTTTATTTAGGATACCTCTAAACATAGGCTTTCAAGGGCTGGGGATGAAGTTGTAGATGGGCAATGGTGGGGAGCTTATGCTGCTACCCATGCTGGGGGCAATTAGTGAATATCCCTCTCTAGTGCCTGCATCATTTGAGTATGTGACCAGTGGTCAGATTTCAGTGTCTGCCAATGCTGTGAGCAAACTGGAAAGAAATGTTTAGTTTGGTTATGTCAGTGTACACCTAAAATGAGTATTAACTGGTTCATTTTGGGGGCTCAAACTTGGCCCCACAAATTTGTCTCTGATCAAAGGTGAATTTTTGTTTTTCCTAGTCTGAGGAAAGTTCTTTTCTGCTGTTTTACAAAAGAAAAATACCTTCAGTTCTGAGAGTAAAAGAGATACAAGACTTAAGACGCACTCTTATCACATGTGCCAGGGGCTCTTTAAATTCTTTTTGCATAGCCAGCATTGCCATACAGAAGGGACTGGTTTCATATGTACTTCAAGAAGTTATGGCTAGTTAAGTAGGCTGGCTTTATTAGCTCCAGATTAAGGGAGACAATGCATCTGTTACTCACATTTGCCAAAATATATGTCTATTATTGTCAGGTTATACTCAACTTTTCTTCTTGTTTTATATATATATATATATATATATATATAAAATCCTCTTTATTGTAAGCCACCATAAGGCTTCGGTGGGAGGGGTGGCATATGAGATGAATGAATGAAAGCCGTGTGCTTCGTGCCTGCACACAAAAATGATGGGATTTACAGGAATTCAAATCCTTTTTGAACACACAACTGGTTTAAGACTAACAACGTTTTATACGAAAGCAAAATATTGCCCTGTGCTTTCCACCCTTAAAATGCTTTGTTTTCTTTTTCATCGTAAATAACTAAACTCTCTTAGGCTCCCTCTAACCAGTTAATTCTGCAATTACTTTGAGACCAGTTACACATGCAAAGTAGCTGTCACGCCATGAAGAGCTCTAACCAGTCATCAAGTTAAACCTTGAAATATGTACTAACATTATAGCTGGTTGCTATTGAGTTTTAATTTGCACATGTAGCTGGGGCTCCCAGCCACAGGGCTGTATCATGCCTAGCTGGGTCTGGGAGTCCTACAACTGAGGAGACTGTCAGCTCCAGTAGCTGCTGACTCTGGGTCGCAGCAGCACAGAGACCAAGTCCCACAGCTATGGATGCTGGGTCCCGGCAGCATGCCTCCTGGTGCCAAGACCCATTTGGGTGCCAGCAGCTGCTTGGCAGGACTGCAGTCTTCCAGTCCTGGGCATGCACGGAGCTCCCGGGGCTGGGAGATCACAGTTGCTATAGTCTTCCAGCCTCAGGGAGGGTATGAAACTCCAGGGGAGGGGGATTGCAGCAGCTGCATCTTCCAGCTGCAAAGGTGCATGAGGGGCCCCTGCAGCTGGGAGCCTCTCAGCTGATGAAACCATTAATGCTCAACTGAGGGGGATCCCAGCAGCAGGAGTTTGCTTCTTGCCAGTGCACTGACAGTAAAGTGCAATGGGATCTAATGCGTGATCCCACAATTGCACCTCCCGCCATGCACCTCCTGGCATGCATTAACCCCACTGCACCTTTACTTCCATATGTAGAGGGGTCCTCTGACCCACACTAAATACCCAAAGTTTGCTAAGTATGTGCTTGTAAAAGTGAGATAATGTGTGGCCTGATTTTGTTTACACTTACATCAGTATCAATCTGCAGTAACTCTGCTGAAAGAGATCAGAATTGAGTTCCATGCTTTTGAAGTCTTATTAGCTAATTTTGGACATGATTCAAGAAAACTAGTAGGAAGAGGTATGATAAAAATGATAGGGGTCACAGCAATACCATTGCACAGTTACCCTGCAAAGGCTTCTACGCAGCAGAACAGAGGTGCATACACACGTCCACACACTCATCATTTTAATATCAAGTGACCAGTTTAAGAGTTCTTTGCAAGTGCAAATAAAAGTTCCTCCAGTTAATATTTAATATTTTTGTGTGGCCTTCTGTTCACTGCATGTTGAAAGATATACCACATTTTCATCCTGGAGCAGTAGAAATATACAACCCTTCTCTACCAAGTGAACTGGGTTTTCATCATTCTGGATTTTGTATTATTATTATTTTAGTAATTTGTATTAGGCATTTTTGTTTTTCTCCTAATAAAGGAAGACTAGAAAGATGCTTGTGATAGATATGGTACAGCCTAACAGTTGAAGTTCATTAATAATTGGAATGTTGTAGAGTATAAAGTAATGAATACTAATTACTCCTTTCATGTCTGACAGCACCCCGTGGACCAATACATCAGCCCAGACTTTAATTTGGTTCTAGTAATGGTTTCATCAATAGTACATTAATTCTGTGTTTGAAAAGATATACAGTTGAACCTGACCCACACAGTAGATACCACTGTCATAAAATGGCCACATACTGACAACAACTGGATAATTACAAATAATTAAATCCACTGAACTTCAGACAATCCTAATTTTAAGTAAAATATATCTTATGATATCAATCGACAGAAAGCATAGCCAGGGAGATTTATCAACTTGAACTTCTTCTAAAGCAAATTTACTAGCTTGCATACTAGAAAATGTGCTGATCTTTGAACAACTTCATAAAATTATATCCCCCTAGTTTACTGAGTTTAAGTCTTGGACATGGTATATTACCAGCTAATGATGGCGTTTCTGAATAAAGACTGCAGGAGAACTTCTCAACCTCAGACAACCTTGCATAAATATTGCTCTTCTATTACCTGAGTGATTACACAATGGGAGTTGTGCATAGTCAGTATTTCTCAAAACAAGGCTTGGGTACTTAAAAACAGATTTAGGATCTCAACTTTAGGTACCCAAGGTTAAAAATATGGGTGTCACATTTATTTTTTGTTTTCAGAGAACTACTTTAACAGAGAATATGCATGGGAATATGATCTCTTGTTTTCACAGGGATTTTTTTTCAAACTATTATGTATGGGTTACAACGTAGAAACATTTTATAAATTCACACCACTTGGAGCAGCTCAGATTTTCTTATAGTTTCTTTGGTTGC